CCCCTCCCCCTCCCCCTCCCTCCCCCCAGACCTCCTCCTTCCTACCCTTGGCTGACTCTCTGGCTGAGCTGACTGCCTTGTCTGTCTGTCTGTCTGTCTGTCTTGGTGTCTATCCGTGCATCCACACCTGGCTGTGTTGAGTTCACCTGGCTGTGTTGAGTCGAGTTGTGCTGTGTGTTGTCGTGTCGTGTGCAGTGCACCATTCACTAAATGATGAATGGTATGACGGACGGGCAAGGCAATCAATCGGTAGGGAGTGGCACTGCACACCCGTCAAACTGTCTGTCCAGTGAGATGACACGATACAGGCAGATCAGATCAGATCACATCTGAACAGCACAGAACAGACAGGTCAGGCCGCTCCCATCGGCTCATCACTCCGACTGACTGACTGACGGCCCGGCACTCTCTAGCTAACGAGTTCACCCCCCCACTCACTCAGTCACTCACTGGTGGCGTCCGTGTGTGCGTGGACTGGATAAGCGTACGGTCGGGCCGTTGTTTGTGTGCCGGCTGTGCGTGTGATGGTATGTGATGTCATTGATGGTATGAATGTGGTGAATAAATGAGTGGACTGTTCCGGCCTCTAGCTAGCCTCGCATCTCGCATATCTCCTTCTGGCGGTCCGAACGCCTTCCCCTCTCTGCACATACCGTGGTGGCTGAATTGGAGCAAGACAGGCAGGCAGGCACAGCACCCGTCTGTCTGTCTGTCTGGGTGAGAAGTATTGGAGTGGCGCGACCTAGACAGAGAGGGAAGGCAAGTAGGGCCCGGCCAGACATGAAGTGAAGCGGCTTGACGTTGTGTGGGTGACGTGTGTCGTGTGAGAGGAGAGAGAGGTGTGTGGAGTGACTGGCCTGGGTGCAGTGGGGTGAGTGAGGGAGGGAGTGTGTGTGAGGTGTGTGTGTGTGTGTCTGTACGATATACCTACCGATTGGATGAGGAATGATTCCATCCCTTCTTCTTTTTGCCGCCCTCTCCCTGCCCGGCTGTCCACTTTTGGGTACACTGACTGACTGACATTGACTGGAGGTGAGGCAAGCGTGGCCACGTTTCCCCGTGGTTTCCACCTGCCCGCCCTCCTCTTGTGTACACACACACGCACACACACACGCACACACGCAGAGCAGACGCTCACCGTTGTGGCGTCGTGAGCGCTGTGCTCCTCGTCCGCCCCGCCTGTTTGTTTCTGTCCCGATTTGCAAACCTGCCGGTGTGGTTCCGTGTCTTTAATTTCCGATCTGTCTCTCGGTGTGGTGTGGTGTGGTGTGGTTGGTGGAGTGAGACGCCTAGCTGCGTGGATGCCATGCCGGGGTGCGCATGAGGACGACCTCGTGGGCCCCGTAGACAGACATACACCGATACACCGACAACTCAGATGTGCATCCATCGATCTTGCATGTGTGTGTGTGTGTGCGGCTGACCGGTCGGTTCGGTCGATGCGGCTGGCCGAACGTGTCGGTCAATGACAATGAACACGAGTTTTGCTGACTGACTGAGACGAGAAGACGAGAGCAACCACAAATCAACCGGTCAGACAGACACACTGCTACTGCCCGCCTGCCTGGTGCCTAGCTACGTGTGTGCCTACTTGGAAGCCAGCAGTGGTCTGTCTGTCTGGCCGCCTTTGCTGCCTCCCGTAGAGAGCCCAGCACAGCACAGGTCTTCCGTGTGTCTGTCTGTCGGAATCGACATATTCGGCCGACAACACACACACCCCACGACCATACATACGAGCCAGCTATAGGGCGGGCACCTGACGGTAGCAGCAGCAGCAGCTGACCAAACCACGTACCGTTTTTTCTGAAGCGCTTCGCTGTGCCACGGAGAGATAGACGGACAGCATGACAGCCGAAGTGGTTAGGTGAAGTGGCTAGGTAGTTGGATTGGTGTCTGTGTGCCTGAGCGCCTCTGTGTGTGTGTGTGTGTGTGGATGTCACTTTCTCCTTCTGACTCGACTTGGCTTGGCTTGGCTTCTCTGCATACGAACACACCTACACGTACACGTGTGAATGGAATGGAATGGACCGACCCGACCCACTCTCACCACTTTCTTGAATGAATGGATGGATGGATGGATCTGGATGGATCAATGAAATCGATCAACCAATCCAATAAGGGTTCTCTCTCACACACGCGTGCACGACACACACACAGCATAGCAGAGAGAAGTCAGTTTGCATGGCCATGCCATGATGCACTCCCACCCAACACACACTCACACATCACAGACATGGACGGACACTCAGTCGGTCTAGGGCCTCAACAGAGACAGAGACAGAGAGAGAGCTAAGCATACTCACTCATCGTCCGCGGCTCAGCTCCGGTCCGGTGGTGGGCCGGAAAAAGGACGCTGCGAGAGTGTCGTAGGTGGGTACACCGAGGAGGGAGGAGAGCAACAAAAGAGACACACAGAGCCTACCTCGGCATATGGACGCCCGCCCCACCAGTCTGGCCGCCGTACCTCCTCCCCTAGGCGCAGTGATGTCATGACACCGTCCTCCATCCATCCACCACCCACAGGCCTCCCCCTGACTGTCACTTATCCAGGGGGCGGTGCTGCTGCTGCTGGTGGTGGTGGTGGCGGCGGTGGTCCATCGCCCTCGCCCTCGTCGTCGCGGTCGTCCAGCTGTCCCTCCCAGATCCTCCGGCCACCGTGATAGCCCGGTATATGGGGCATCAGCAGGGCCGTCTTCTTTGTCCTCCCTCCTGGTGGGCGGGGACCCGGCTCCACCTCTTCCATCTCCTCCACACCCCCTCTCCGCTGCAACAACGGCACGCCATTGGCTACAGCTGCACCATCGCCCAGCTGCTGGAAGGGCGGCATGGCCGGGTGGGCAGCAGCAGCTGCTGCTGCTGCTGCCGCTGGTGGGGGTGGAGGTGGGGGGGTGGAGTGGAAGGGCGGAAACGGCATGTCGAGAAGGTCGTGTGCGTCAGGTGGGTCAGGTGACTCCCGTGGGTCTCGCTGTTTGTGCTTCTTGGGCGACTGGCTGGCCATCCTGATTGAGGCGAGCAGGTGGGCGTCGCGGGAGAGCTTCCTCTGCTCCTCGTCCATGGCCGTACCCACAGCTACACCGCCCAGGCGCATGCCCGTGTCCATCCCCCGCTGCCGCTCGGCCTCTGCCTCTGCCTCTGCTTCCGCTGCTGCCGCTGCGGCCTCCATCGCTGCCTCTTGGGCCTCCATCTCCGCCTGGATCTCCTCCACACGGCCGGACACCCACTCCTGCACACAACAACACACACAACACACCAGATGGAGCCAGACATCAACACATACACACACACAGGGTGGGTGGGTGGGTGGCTGGGCGTGTGAGCTGACTGACCTGCAGGCGCCGCGAGCGCTTGGCCTCCTTCTCGATGAGGTGCTGCTCCTGGTCCTCCCGCTTGCGCTTCCTCTGCCGCAGGTATATGTCGGCCGTGAAGGGCACGTACACAAACTTGTACGACGAGTGAGGCACCTGTCACACAGGGAGGGAGGGAGGGAGGGAGACAGACAGGGGCAGGTAGGCATATCACACAGACGCGCGTCGAGTGAGCAGAGCTCTACTGTACCCCACCCACTGAAGGTACCCGTTGCAGCAGGCGGTTGACGAGCATTGACTTGTCCGCCTGGCCGCCCTCCTGCGTGCGCTTCTTGATGGCCCGCTGCACACGCGCCCTGTTGCGGATGAGGAACCTCGCCGGGCGGCCCTGCTCGAGCAGCTGGGAGGGCGAGGGCGACGCTGGCTGGGTCAACGAACCCATCTACTCGACAGCGGACGGACAAGTGTGGACAGCACAGCACAACACAAGGATAGGTAGGATGGTGGGGTGGGCTGTGCGTGGCCGGTGTGGTGTCTGTCTGTTCTGTTGCAGTGTGTGTGGTGTGTACGTTGATGTCTTTGAATGCGTCCGGGTCCGATGCGGTCATCATGTCGTGGTTGACCAACCGGATGTAGTTGTCGCGGATCCACTCGCTCATGGGGACGTTCTCACCCAACGACACAGGACGATCCTGGGGAAGGGACCCCCAGACACACGGTCACACACGCACACACAGTAACCAATTCGTCTGTCTCCTTGCTCTACGTGTCGGCTCGTGTGGTGTGCTGCTCACGGCCGGTTTGATGGCGTGTTGGTAATCGCGTGTGGTGACCATGTGGACGGTGAACTGGAGCTTGGAGGGGTCGTAGCGAAGGTGGAAGTAGGGCGCGTCCCCGAGGACCTCTCGCGCGTCGGCCTCGTATACCGCCAGCGCACGGTCACTGCCGTGAAGCGTGTCCAAACCTGATGGATGGGCACCATTTACCACACACACACACACACACACACACATGCATGAATGCGTCTGTGCGTGGTGTGTGTGTGTGGGAGGGAGGGTGGGAGGGGTGGGGTACAGTCTCTGTAGTTGAGGTAGAGGAGGACGAGTTTCATGGCGGTGGCGTCCTTGATGGTGTAGAGGATCATCTTGACGAACTGGTTGCACACGCGGTCGATCGTGTACAGGATATACGCACTTGTGCCCAACAAATCGCTGCAAAACCCAACCCAGCCCAACCACACACACCATCACACGGCTTTGTGTGCTGTCCTGTGATGTCCTGTGCTGTGCTGTGTGCTGTGCTATGCACCTACCTGGCCTGGTCTTCGAAGGCATGTGAGTCGATCTCGCCCATTATGAGCTTCCGGCAGATGGTCAGCACACTGTCGGCCCTCCGCTCCTTGACACACACACACACGGTGGACACGAAACAAACGCGCCAAATGAGGCAGGCACACGACGGCATGAGGAGTGAGATGCATGGCAAGAATGCGAACCTACCTGCTGTCCCTCGAGGACGGACGGTGTGGGCGATGGCCGCCGGTTGGTGCGGCCGCTGGCCTCCTGGCTCCTCTTGCACTGCACACCACACCACATCACACCACACAGCATCATACCACATGATACCACAGCCGCTGAGTCGGCCTCTCTATGTGTGTATATCCTGTGCTGTGTGCTTCCTTCCCTCCCTCCCTCCGCCCTGCCTGGCTCAGCCAGCTGACCTTGAGGAGCCGCTCGTAGATGGTGGCGTAGAAGCGGAAGAGGCAGTACCCCGTGTCACCCGCTATCATGTACCGCGGGTACGCTGGCACCATCACGGTCTTCTTCTTCCCACCACCATCCTTCACACCACCATCGTACGGCCGCAACTCTGCAGCAGCAGCGGCTGCTGCTGGTGCGGGTGGTCCTGAGGCAAATGTGTCGATCTCCATGGGCACTGGGCCGCTGGGTGCGGCGGGGGATGGCTGGGCAGAGAGGGAGAGAGGGGCCGGGGGGCCGGGCTCGCTGCTGAGCTCGACGGACGCCATGGGGACCTCCTCTGTGCCCTCTGCTTCTGCTTCTTCGGCCTTGACGGCCGCCTCCGGTTGCTCGCGCTCGTCCGTTGTGGTGGTGGGTATGAAGGCCCGCATGAGCTTCAGCCCGGTCGTGTCGTTCCATCGCCGCTTACCACCTGCAATGGATGCAGAAATCGCGAAAACAGGTAAACCAGAGACACCATTGCAGCCCCCGCCAACAGTCTCACCGCTCTTTTTGGGTTTGAGCAGCCCCGCTGGCCGCCCAATGGCGGCTTCGTGTGGCGAGGGTGGTGCAACAGCTGCTGCTGCGGCTGCTGCGGGCTGTGTGTCTGCTGTTGTTGCCGTCGGGTGTGGGTGTGTCTTGAGGCCGGGAGGGAGGGGGGGCAGGTCGGTCTTCTTGCTGTCGTCGTCGAGCAGCCCGCCGAGGAGGAAGAAGTCCTTGAAGATCCAGCTCACGAACTTCTCAATCTGAACCAACCGAACCACACACAAAGAGGGTCGCGTCGGGATATAGCACGTGGTATTTCTGTGTGTGTAGGTTACCTACCTGTGGGACGTCGTGTCGTGAGACGAAGTTGTTGCGTGGGCTGCGGGCCGTGTGCAGAATCAGCTCAGTCACATCACGATGAGTCTGTTTGTTAACATTGGGCAAACGAACAGACAGAGTGGTGGCGGGTGCGTAGTGCGTAGTGCGTGGTGGTGTGCCGCATCGATCTTACCTGTATGTCAGGCATCTCAAAAGTGTACTCGGGCGGGAAGTGCTCAGGAGCCCTCTTCTCCGCTGCTGCTCCTGCTGCTGCTGCTGCAGGTCGCTGCTCTGCTGGTGCTGGTGCTGGTTGCGGTTGCGTGGGCGGCGCTGTGGGCTGTGGTGGCCTCCCACGCATCACAGAGCTGTCCTGTTGTTTCTGTTTGCCGCCCTCGCCCTCTCTGCCTTCCTCCTTGTCTGGCTCCTGCTCCATCTCAGAGTCTTCATCCTCAAGACGCGGGTGGCTGGGGTGGCCGTACGCGTACACGAGCTGCGGCTTGCCGGCGCCCTTCTTGCCACCTGAGCCCCCAACACACACACACACACATGGATGGATGGACGGATGGATGGAAGGGGGGATGCCCACCTGTGTGTGTGTCTGGTGGGTGTTGGATGGTGATTTCTTTGAGGTCGTCTGAGACGATGATGACGCCGCCCTCAGCCCCGCCGCGGGCCTCGTAGTACTTGCGCCGCACCTCCTGCAGAAACGCCTTGGTCGTCGTGTTCTTGCGGTCCTGATGGATTGATGGACAGACCATTCACACATGGGTCCGGTTTGTTTTCGCTTTGGGACGCCTGTGTGTGTGTGTGTGTGTGTGTGTACCTGTGATCTGAAGTAGAAAGATCTGTGGTCGAGTGAGCGCTCGTAGTTGCGGTCGACCATGTCGCGCCACAGGTCACGGTTCAACTGCTGCTGGACCGACTCCCTGCATCAAACACGACAAGACATCCACACCATTAATTAGATGTATCGTTGCCTCTGTTGCCTCTGTTGGCTCCCTCCCCTCCCCTCCCTCCCCCTCGTGTGTCTCGTCTCCCACCACTCTTCCTGCTTCTGCTTGAGCCGGTTGTAGATGACAGGCACGGCCCCCTGGGGGTTTTTGGCCATGAGGTCGGCGATCTCCTTGTAGTGCTCGCCGTAGATGAGCCGCAGACACTTCTGGTGCAGAGGGTGGTCGAACTCATCCGGCATCTCCACACCACCACCACCTTCCGCCGCTGCTGACGAGGCTGATGCTGATGCTGCTACGGCTGCCGGTGCTGGTGGTACCGGTGCGGGGGGCGGTTGAGGTGGGCCAGGGGGATGGGTGGGGGGCACGTCGGGAGTGATTGCTGCAGCAGCAGCAGCCGCTGGTGGTGGTGGCTGTGATGGTTGTGGCGGTGGGGGCAGCGCTGCAGATGCTGCTGGTGCAACGCTCTGTGGGGGCTGCTGTGGCTGTGGCGGGGCAGCTTGTGCCTGGGGCACCTGTGGTGGCTGCTGCTGCTGCTGCTGCTGGTCCGTCACAGCATTTTTGCGCTGTTGCCCCTCGATCTGATCCACCACCTTCTTGAGCAGCTTGATGGCTGCACGAACGAAACACACACACACACACACACACAGAGAGAGAAAGAGAGAGAGAGAGTGCATCCGTGTGTGTGTGGTTGGGTGGTTGGCTGGCTGGCTGACTGACTTGTCCTGACGAGGTCCAGTACGTAGTCGAGGTCGAACCGCTCGTCCTCCGTCTTGAAGAGCACCTCCTCGTACTCATTCCGACGCATCACACGAAACGACAAATCCTCGGAACCCTAAGGGTGGGGCATCGGGGAAGGGAGGGAGGGAAACAGACCCATGTGCGCCGTGTTGTGTGGTGTGGTGCGGTGTGGTGGGGTGTGTGTGGTTGGTGGCGTGCCTGTGGGATGGATATCCAGGTGTCGTTGAGCTCCTTCTTGCACAGCTCGTCCCGACCAGAACAATACTGACATGCAATGCAACGAGGGAGGGAAAGGCACCGCACCCACCCACCCAGCAGACGGTGTGTGTGGCTGGGCTGGTGTGTGGGTGCGATGTGTGGGTGCACTGCATGTGCTTACATTACCTTCTTTGGGTACTTCTTGGGCAGCTTGCGATAGCTCGAGCCGGATATCTCAGCGTCTGCCATGACGCACAGCACACGCACCGCAGACACCCACGGGCACACGCCCATCCATGCATGGCGCACCATCTCATTCATACAGCGGCATTCATGTGGGTGGGTGTCGTTCGTGTGTTCATTCATTCTGACCTTTGAAGTCGATCTGCCCCAGCGACAGGCAGAAGTACGAGTGCTTCCTGCAGACACACAGACACACACGAGCACAGAAATGTGGCGTGGCCTGGCGTAAGTGCACTCACTCACTGACCTTCTGGCGGCTTCCCTTGGGCAGATGATCTTCCGGACGGCCCACATGAGAGGACTGCTTCTCATTGCAATGACATTCACACAACACACACACACACAGACACACAGAGAGACAGCCCTTGTACACGGCTGCCCTTCTGTCTGGTCCATGCAGTGCAGTCAGTGCTGTGCTCACGGGTAGTCGTGGAGCGGCAGAATGTCCTCGAGCAGCGCTAGAGTCTGCAAATGGAACCACACCACACCACACCACACAGGTTTCTAGGCAGCCCAGCCGCTTGTCTGGATCCCACCGACCTCAGCAACGGTAGCGACGCCTGTCTGGAAGAGTTTGATGCACTTGGCCATCTCGGTGTAGTGCTGCTTGTGCGGCGAATCCCTTGAGTGAGTCAGTGAGTGACATAGACACCACACACACACACACACAGACATGGGTGCGTGTGTGTGTCCAGCTATATCCTCCTCCTCGTCTACTGACTTGGCGTCAGGGTTGAGGCACGCCTTGAGGGCCTTGAAGAAGCCATCCTCGCCACGATTCAACGTCAGACCTGTGTGACACACACACACACACACGTGATGCCGTCATTACACAAGTGTGACGAGGCGGTTAGGCAGAAGGAAGAGGACTGTTATCTGTCCGCGACTGACCGCTTCTGACGTCCTCGTCCGACCAACCGTTGTGAAGCAGACCACCGGGACCTGACCAATGCAGCGCCACAAAGACAGAAAGGTAGACAGACCTGCACCGAGCAGTCTCTCTCTCTCTCTCTCTGTGTGTGTGTGTGTGTGACCATCTTCTTCGTCTCGCTCTGCTGCGTCCTGCCAGCTGGTGCCGGGGGGCAGGTCAAACGCACCCACGGGCGGCGGACGCTCCTGACACACCACAGACACACAGAGACAGACAGACACAGAGAGATGGATGCATATGGTATGCACTCACTGCCCACTCTCCCGCCCCGCCCCGCCCCCTGATACCTTCTTGCCCTTCTTTTTGTCCCTCTCCTCATCGTCCTTGGACGCGCGGATGCGCTGCAAATTCGCACCCACGCACCCACACACACCACAGACACATACACAAGGAATGGCCCTTCTGTCGCGTTGCTTTGCTGGGGATGTGATGTCGGGCCTGACTTGACTGACTCACCGCGGTGACGTCCGGCAGGAAGTATGAGAATTCCTCGAGGAGGTCTGGGTGTGTCTTCATGAGGTGGTCGACGCTCTTCCAGACGTCCTTGACGGGCTTGCGCATGCTCTGGTAGTTCTGCAACTCCTCTATGAAGTGCTCGTACTTGTCGGGGGCCAACGTCTGACGCACGGCACGCAGAGATGGATGAAAGGAGGGATGACACACCCGCATCGCCGACATGCAAGTGGAGCTCTGTGCCTGCATTGATTGCATTCAATGCAATGACTGACCTTGATTCGTTTGACGTACTCGAGGGCATGGTCGTAGTCAACGGTGGGCGTCTGATGTGGTGGATGGACGGATGGAGGGACACACAGACACACAGAACCATTCACACAGACAGACAGACAGACGGAAATTTATGGTATGTGTGCAGTGCAGGAGTGATTGAGTGGTGGTACGGTAGGTACCCCTATGCGCATCTCCGAGGGCAGGAACTGGTTGAAGTCGACGATGAGCGACCGGTGGCCCTGGAACAGATTCGACACCTTCTTGATCACCTTGTCCGTGCGCAACCTGACACCAACACAACACACAACCAGCCCAGTGGCCATCTGCATGTATGTGTGTGTGTGTGTGTGTGTCCCGAGACGCTCACTCACCCGCCACTCCTGAACTCCTTCATGATGCCGAGGAACTCGATGTAGCGCGGGTCGTCCTCACTGAACTTCTTCCGCACACGCGCCAAATACACCTTGGCGTCCTCCACACGCAACTCGTCACGCTGCACCGACCGGGGCCTCTCCTGATGACCACCGCCGCCGCCACCGCCGCCGCCCGAGGACCGCTCCCCCTCCCTCTCACCACCCCATTCTCTCTCCCTCTCCCTGACGGACCCCTGCTTGGACGCAGGAGCCGATGCAGCGGCCGGTGCAGCCACCGACGCAGCTGGCGCAGCATCCTGCATCTCCACATCACGGTCCACTATCCGGCGCACAGGCTTGATCCCACCATGCTGTACGGCGCCACCAGGTATCTGGTCGACCCCGCCGCCAATGGGGGTGCTGTCCTCGTCCACTGTGACGGGCTCGGCGGCCGTGCCGTTGGGCTGAGGCGGCTGTGGTCGAAAGGGCCGCCATTCAGAAAAACGGAGACTGGGGGGAAACTCGTCCGAGACCAGAGGATGGGGACGGGCGCCTGGGGGAAGGGGAGGTCGATGTGGGAGGGGAGGGGGAGGGGGAGGGGGCGGAGCGTGTGTTGGTGGATGTGTCGGCTCAGGAGGCTCCCCTCCCACATGCTGATGCTGCTGTTGCTGGACGGGCTGTTGCTGCCTCTGCACCTGCGGCGGTTGCGTGTGCATCTCCTGCATCCGCCGCTCCTCCTTCTGCTTCTTCTCTCTCTGCTCTATTCGCCTCCGGTGGTCCTCGTCCCTCTCCCTCTCCTGGTCAATTCCACCCTGATGTGTGGTCTCAAAGACCGGCTTCTCAACTCCTGGTGGCGGAACGGAGGGCTGCTGCTGGTGCGGCTGAGGTGGCTGGTGCTGTGGCGGCCACGGGGCAGCGCCTCCGAATGGCGCAGGTGGGGCGGGAGGAGGGATCCCACCACCACCAGGCGGAACCTCTCTCGCCATGATCTCCTCAGTGAGTCACTCAGATCAGGCCAGGCCAGGTCGCAGCTGCAGAGACCGCTCCAGCAGGGGACACAGCAGAAATCACCGGATGCAGAGCGGCGTCCCACCCGATAGTCGCGGAACCAGCCGGCTGCCTCACACGATAAACCTCAAGTCACGGCAGCGGCTCTCGCACGGCGGCAGGTTCACAATGGCTGGGCAGATCTCGGTCTTGCAGCAGATGTATGTGGGTAGCGGGCGGTCGGGCAGCTGATGCACCGGCTGACAGTCGTCAGGGACAGGCACAGGAGACCCTCAGAGAACCGCACACCGAGGGCGACAGCGAGGCGCGACGACGCAGGCGGCTAAGTGCCACTCTGGTTTAAACCACACCCTACAGCCGTGGCGTGTTGCGTTCCGACGGAAAAGCCCCCAGCGCATGCAAATGTTGCGAGCTAAGCCTGCAACCCTACAAACCCTGGTTGATCGGCATCTCGCCCATCTCTGCTCGCGCGTGTCTTCCCTTGTCGAAGGGCACTCAAGCCCTAGCCCAGGCTGCTACGTGAAACGAGCAGTAGAACCAAACATAATACCGTCTGGCCAGTTACCCCTGGCCAGAGCCCAGGGAGATACCCGCTGTCTTAGGTAGCTTCGTGAAACGGAGCCCTATTCCAGCGGAAGCCCAACGCCATAGCGTTATATAGCGTTAGACAGACTGGGTCTTTTCAGAGAGAAAAGACTCTTGACTCCATCTGCTTGGTCATCAACCACTCTACGAGCAACCTGAGCACGCTATTTATCCGACAGGTTAAGAGCCGAACCGCTTGGTGACTGGCGGACACACAGCAGAAATCGACAACGACAACTGACTGACTGAGAGAGACAGAGGAAACAAACACTCTCTGGCTGTGTCTCACAAAGATGAGCTCAGG